GCTACGCCTGTGGAGTTTGCCAGCCGCGGGGCAAGGCGGGGGCGGGGCGACAACTCTCACTGGGGGCCCTTTCTAGTGCCTCTCAAGTATCTGGGGCTCCTCACTGTTCCAGGCTCAAGACACAAGGCCTCAAGGAAGAGCCACATCAGTGTGATGGGGGGGGAGGCCTTCCTGGGGGAGGCTACCCTGGGGAGAGAGGGTACGTTCCTGAGGCGTGGGTTTAATATGATAAAAGGGTCTTAACTCTTCTGTGTTAATATAAAACAAAACCATATGTGACTGAGAAGCTCCAGAAGGAGAAGAAAGTTGGGAAATCAGAAAAGGACGTGGGGTTCAGAGGAAAATGAAGTCACGAATCAAATCTCCAACTGGCGTGTGCTACGCTACGAAGAGAAACAGCGAACCCTCCCTCCACCACCTGCAGACGGAGACCCCGGACAGGCCCAAAGCCGGGAAGCCGGGATCTGGCCTCCTCTCCGTATCTGGTGCTCCCTGAAGGGGCTGGGCTCCAGCTTGGGCACTGCAGCAGTTGAAGAGTGGCATGGGGACAGTGGAGAAGGTCCCAGTGAAAGGAGACAGAAACTAACAGTGACCCCTTACAGCATTCGTGTCAATGTGTCTACAGTCTGACTCACTTCATGTGCTTGATGCATGAAGGCAAATGGAAGGGTTATTCTTTCTTGCCCTGTGCTTCGATGTGCTTGTGATCAGAAGGTACACGGGTCTTGTTTTATGGGGTTTCCCCTTTTTTGTGTGTCCCTGGGTGGGCATGAACCATGATTTTTTAAAAGACTTTCCCCAGCTTTTTTTCATGAGGATTCTCCTACACACAGAAAAGTTGGAAAATGTGGATTGTGCACTTTGTATACCCTCCACCAGAATCCAGGGATTAGTTTTTTGTCATAGTTGATCATGGTGTCCCTTGAAGAGAAACAAATGGACAGTCTACTAAATTCTTAGTTGAGCTATTTAAATGGAAGTATTCCTAGTTGAGCGTGCAGAAGTCTAAATTGAATCACCAAAACAGAGCCATGGCCCCTCAGTCGACTCCCAGATTTCAGCCAGCTTTTACACCCAGAACCCTTTGAATGAAGGGGATGCAAGGTCCCCTGAGGAAAGACCTCACTACACTGCCAAAAGTATATAATGTTAATCTTTCTGCCAACCTTCCCCCAAAGGGACCTATGGCCTATTACCAGGGTGACTGTGCATTAGGGAAAAGGAAATAACCAGACCTTTGGGGGGAATAGTGAACACTGCTTCTGAACTGACACTAATTCCGGCAGACCCAAAGCATTGCTGTGGCCCACCAGTCAGAGTGGGGGCTCATGAAGGTCAGGTGATTAATGAAGTGTTAGCTTAGAACTGCCTCACAGTGGGCCCACTAAGTCCCCAAACTCACCCTATGACTATTTCCCCAGTTTCAGACTATAACTGGAATAGGTATACCCACATTTGTTCCCTGACCTGTGGAGTGACAGCCATTATGGTGAGAAGGGCCAGGTGGAAACCACTAGAACATCCTATACTTGGAAAAAATAGTAATCCAGACGCAATGCCACATCCTTAGAGGGATTTCAGAGATGAGTGCCACCGTCAAGGACCTGAAACACGTAGGAAGGGTGATTCCCACTATCCCCCAATTTACTTTGCAGATTTATCCTCTGCAAACCAGATGCATCTTGGAGGATGACAGTGCCTCACTGTAAACTCACACAGGTGGGGACTCCGGTTGCAGCTACGATTTCATATGTGATTTCATTGCTTGAGCAAATTAACACGTCCCCTGGTGCCTAGTATGCAGCTATTGATCGGCCACATGTTTTTCCTCAATAACTGTAGTAAAGACCAACAGAAGGCATGTGGTTTCAGCCAGCAAGGCCAGTGATCCATTTTCATCGGCCCACCACAGGCATTTCTCAACAATCTAATCCTGTGTCCTAATTTAGTTCCCGGAACTTTTTTTAAATTTATTTTTTTAAGATTAAAAAAGTTTATTGCTATGAAAGAGAGAGAGTGAGAGCATCATGTGAGTGAGTGGGGGAGGGGCAGAGAGTGAAGGAGAGAGAGAGAGAATCTCAAGCAGGCTCCAAAGTAAGTGTCAATGCAGAGCCCGACATGGGGCTCGAACCCACGAACTGCAAGACTGTGACCCGAGCCAAAATCAAGAGTCGGATGTTCAATCGACTAAGCCACCCAGGCGCCTCTAGTTTCGTGAATCTTAATCAACCTTCCCTTCATCGAGACCTCACAAAGGACTATTACATTGATGACGATAAGCAGATTAGACCTAAAGAGACAGAGGCAGCAACTACTCCAGCCTTCAGGGCTTCCTTGAGTGTCCACTGGCCACAGCTTGAAGCTCAGTGATGTTTGCTGTTCCCTGAGGCAAAGTTTCCTTCAAAAGCATTTCTGTTTCCAGCCCATCGTTTGTGACCTAAAAGCCAACCTGCCCTCCCTAATCATAAAAGGGCCCAACAGCAAGGGAAATTATTACAGGGATCTGAGGACAAACTTTCATAATAGAAGACTAGTTTGTCCCTTTGGACCCAACAGGAGTTTAAAATGGCTTCAAGACCGAAAATGTGTGCATGTGATTGTACGTGGAGGTGCGGGGCGGCCTCCTTCCCAGGGCACACCTTCCCCCCCACATCTTCCGATGTACTGCACTCCCTCTCCCCTCCCCCACCAGTTGCTCCCAACCTCACTGCTACATAACCTAACTTGCGGGACCTGGGGGCGAGGGAATGCCCTCAGCGCCTCAAGCCACACTGTCTTCCTGAGCTCACCATTCACAGAGATCAAGCTCTGCGACGGGACGGGACTGCTGACCTAACGTAACGACAGCTGACCGTTGTGTTTGTTTAGAGACGGGTATCCTTATTATGTTGCCCAGGATGGAGGCCAGAGGCTGTTCACAGGCACAGGCCACCGCTGGTCCACGTATGAATTTTGACCTGCTCAGTTTCCGGCCTGGGCAGCTGCACCCCTCCTTGGGCCACCTGGTGGCCTCTGGCATCTGAGAGGTTAACCAAAGAGACCACACGCGACCTTACCCACACACCCCACCAGCAGAGCGCACTCCAGCCCAGAACTCCGGCGGCCAAGCGGTCCTCCTGGCCCAGCCACGGGGTAGCTGACTGCACGCTCGGCCACCAGGCCACGACAGCTATCAGTTTTAAGCACTGACGTGCCAGCAGTGCCATCAAATACACACGGTGCTCCCCCGTTAGGCCTGAAAAGCACCACATAAACCTTTGGGCCACGGGGGAAGTGAGGCCCAAGGGGCAACAGTCCCCTGCCCAAAGTCACACTGTTAGTGGGCAGTGGGCAGAGCCAGGATGTGAACCCCCAGGGTCTAACTGGAGCGGACGCTGACTATTGCTGCAGCCGCACGGCCTCCCCGCGGAACAGCGCTTTTACCTGTGCCCTCTGCAGCCGGGAACAATCCGGAAGATTACAGTTCCAGCTGAAACGATGAAAACTCACTTGCCCAAGTAAGGTCTGCTCAGGGCGATCAAGAAAATCCGACTGGGGAAGTAAGCGTCCGTGGTGTCCCAGTCTTCAGGGCCAACCAAACCAGATCAAAGCTCTGTCTCTCTCTCTCTCTCTCGCACCTATTCCCTCATCTCTCAAGCTCTCTGCGTAGATGCTGCAAGAGGCACATCTTCGCAGCTCTGCGGAAGCAGCTTCTGCCCCTGGCTGTGGATGTCCTGGGACAGGAGGGCCAGGGACCACTCGGACACCAAAAGATCTAGGGCCTGCTCCGGGGTGTGCATCTCAGGCCGAAGCCACCCACTGGTGGCAAAGCTCCAGGAGCCGCCTGACAGTTTCCCAGGGACCTAGCGGCAGGAGCCACAGAAACACAGGCGAGAGGCCACCAGTCTGCGCCATCGTTGGGGGTTAGGGAAGGGGGGGGCATGGTAGCTCCTGGCTGTAGGCGCAGCAACTCCTGGGGTGTCACATCAGGAGCCCTTTCCCCTCCTGGGAGCCCGGGCCAGACGCCACGGTCAGGTTCCTAGACGTGCGGACCCTGAAACCAGCCGCTACCGCCGGCAAAGACGCCCGGATCCGCTTGCGACAACAAACAGCATGTGCAGGATCTACACGTCCCGGGCTCCCAATCCCCGCCAACTAGCCCACCCCTGCCCTGGTGGAGCTGTCTCCAGTGCCCGGGCCTCTGTGGGTTCGGGCGGTGAGGCACCAGGCCCCTCGTCTCACTTCCGCCCACGTCTGGGAGGCACCATCTCAGGCGGCTCTGAGCCCACGCAGGACTACGTCCTGGTCCCACGAGGGAAATACCAGCACTAAAATCTGGCGTCCGAACACCATCGGCACCAGCTGGGGACCAATGTGAAGATGAAGTCTTCCAGGAACAGCACTGCCGCTGGCCTCGCACCAACTCACCCAGGAGGGAAAATGTGACCCTAGCACGGGACGCGCGAGGGACCAATCAGAAGACAAGAGATGGGGCCACTGGGGGAACCCAAAGTCCCTCGAACCCTCTGGTGGTGGCGGAAGGCAGAGAGGAGCACACGGAGTAGCAAGGTCTTCGCGACAAAGTAGAAAGGTAGCTCAAGGCCACTGTGACCCACGAGACCAAGACCAGAGTCATAAGCTCAGGAAAACGTATTAAAATGTGAATTCTCGAGCTCATGCGAGATGCGGTGCTTCAGGGTGTTAGGAAGGGGCCCAGAAATCTGCATTTTTACCAGGCTCTCCCAAGAAAGTCTTGCTGCACAGAAAGGTTTGAGAATCCGTTTCTCAGTCCTAACAGAGTTAAAGGGGGTCCCCACCACCCCGATTTCTCTAGGGCTGCTGTGTTCAGGAACCGGGAACGTCCCACCCAAGCCCCTGGGCTCCAGAAACGCTTAAGACCGGAAACCTGAGGAAGCCAAGGAAGCGGCGTCCTCCCGCACGTTGGCCGGCAAAGGAAGCCAGGTCGCGGGGCGGAAGTCTCTGGGCCTGCCGGGAAATGTAGTCCACAGGGCGGGCGCGCGCCTGCGTCCTGCGCAGCTGCGGCTGGGAGCCTGGGAGAGCCTTGTGCACAGAGATGGGGAGTTCCGAGGCGGCCAGAGGCCGTGTCCGTGCCGCCGGCCGGTCCCTCTGGGGTTTCACCTACTGGCCCCCGCCCGACCCGACCTGGTCAGTACTAGCTACTGCTCCCTGCGACCGGGCCGGGCCATCCCATGATTGTTGGAGACCGGGAGCGCCCGTCGGGGCGGCGGGACATCCTGGGCGGGAGCGTGCCAGGGCCATGCCTGCGCCCCAGGCAGCCGATTTGTGACTGGCTTTTAGACGTTCCCGCGACGTGTCCCCCTCGCCTTTCTCCTAGTGCCCGCATTGCAAACATCTCTTTATCCGTGGGCCGTGTGAGCGCGGGCTCGCTCAGGCGGGTGTGGGCAGAAGCCGTGAGTCCCGGGGTGCAGTGACGTTTCCGTGTGGAAGGGCGGATGGAGGGACAGCGGGACGGTCAGGGCCCTGGAGGACGCGGAGGAGGGTTCGGCGCGTCGGGGGAGGGCTACCGGCTGCGAGGCTGAGCGCGGTCAGGGCGGGTCCACGCCAAGGCCGCCCGGATCCTGGATGCCCTCCAGCGACGGTTCGGTGCCTAGGCGGGAGATGTGGACGCTTTCTAGGAAGGAGCCCTCGGGGGCAATAACCTTTCTTGAGTGTTTCCTCTGTGCCCCGCACGCTGCCGTTCGCTCCCATGCAGCTGGGTCGCACACAGGCAGTTTTGTGAAATCGGTGCTGATTATTTTCATGTTACAGCCGGAAGCGCTGGGTTTCAGGGTCACAAAGGGAGCAGATTATCACACCTGGGTGGTCTGTCACGAAAGCCCAGGTTACCATCAAGATCAAGCGTGATAGGGTCACAGTGTATATTTGGGAATTCTAGGTAGGAAGATCATGAGTATTCTTTGTCCTACTCCAGGGAAAGGAACAGGTACGTAAGGCATCTTGGCAAATGCAGAGAGAGGACCCATAGCATAGGGTGGGTGCTGCTGTGGAGAGACGTCTGTGACTACGTGGGTGGCCTCAGACATTGCACTAAGAAGATTTGGCTGTTTTTAGACAGGAGCGTTGCAGAAATCTGTTCATTCTAACCTTGCCACCATTTCCCTCTGGCATTTACGGGGTGACATGGGACAAGGTATTCGGTCCTCTTAAATCTACATCCTCAGTCCCCTCGTCTGTATTTAGGGCATAATACTAGTCCCACCTCCTAGCTGAGGGCCCCATGATCTAATATATGCAGGAGGCCAAGAACAGCACCTGGACTTGGCACTGTGAACGTGATCGGTGTCCTTCGTCATTAATGCAGCGCTGATGGCTGACGGCCTGCCCTATCGCAGTGTATTTTGCTCACGAGAAAGCCACCTGGCATGCCCTAGCAGAATGACGGTCATGGTGCGGGCTTAAGTCCACACACCTTGAGTGGAGAAGAATAAAGGGTTGCACATTTGCAGCCTTTGGAGGTGTGGCTCTAGCTAAGATGCCCGTGATTGGAGGCGACCAAGCGTTTCTCAGAGCTGTATGGACTTTCAGGGTGTTCACCAGTGTTGTACATATTGCTCCCCATTTCTTTTGTAGCCTGTATATATTCAGAAACACAGGACCCGTGTTAGACTGGGAGAAGGGTTACAGGCCACCAGAGATATAGGGGTTCATTTAAGATATGGGGTTCTTAGCCTTGTGCCAATGGAATTTCAAAGCCCAGCTGTCCAATAGTACTTCTGCTATTTTGTATACGGAGCACTTGAAATGTGGCTAAGATGAATGAGAAACTGATTTTTTTTAAGATTATTTTTTTAAACTGAATCTGCCACATGGGGACTTATGACCACCATAGCGGGGAGCACAATTCTAAAGGGCCCGTGGATGTTCTAGAACATTTTGTAAAATTTTCAATCGGATGTGTATGTGTGTCTTTTTCTAGGAAGCGAGTCCATGGTGTTTATCAACTTCTCAAAACTACCAAAAAGATTAGGATCTGCAGCTTTGTCGTTCTGGCAGAACATAAGCAAGTTAGGGGAGGTAAATACGGCCTCTGGGCACTGCTGCTGTTCCTTCTTTCTCATTTTGTCGTGTCCTCAGCTGTGGGCGGCTCCTCACAGATAAGTCACACACTGGAGCTCTAAACGACCCCAGACTGCTGCTACTCGTTGGAACCGTCTGACCCGGAGATTCCCCACTAAGCTGTGGAGTACATCACCGAGACATGAAACCATTTCCTCTCTCATTGTCCCTTCTTCTCTGGAAATTTCCTTGCCCTAGCCCCATGTGGGTGGTGACCCCCATACCTCTGTCTCTGGAAGGTCTCTTGCTGGAAGGGATTTCCCCTCTCATAGAACCCTGTCCTTGTGACGCCCAAATAAAGCTTGTGTGCTAGTCCCTGTCATTGTCCTGTGTCTTCCTTGATCACCCCCCACCCCCAATCCCTCTGCCCACCAAGTGTCCTTAGAAGAAAGTGGCAGGAGGAGCAGAGTTAGTAGTAGGAGATACTCCCATGGAAGTCAGTAGCTGGAGTGAGGCAAGAAAGGGGTCATGAACCAACGAATGCAGGTGGCCTCTGGAAACTGAGGAAGAGAAGGAAATGGATTCTTGCGTGAAGCCTCCGGGAGGAATACAGCCCATTAACAACTTGAGTTTAGATTTCTGAACTCCAGAAGCCTAGAGCAAAAAAATATATATTTTTTTGTTTTACGCCACTAAGTTTGTGATCATTTGTTAACAACAGCAATGGGAAAGTAACATAACTTGTATATACACATATCTATATAAATATTTCTACATTGATCCATTTGTGTCTGTTAGAATAAATATGACTTTATACCAGTGTCTCTGGCTCGAATCCATTACCACATGGGTCATTCTAGCCTTTTCCTCTTGCTTAACTATACCTTTCCTCACCAGCAGCAGCTCCCGCCATCCAGCATCCGTAGACTATACCTGTACGGCCGTGTCTGAAATGTTCATCTATACCCCCATGAGAATTTACCACCTTGAGGACAGCGCTTTGTCTTTAGCCAGTCTGCCAACTTTTATTTTTTATCCATCCCCCAACTTTTACATTTTGAGACATTTTAAACCTCGGGAGAATTTGCTTTCTGCTTGGCAAGCTTCGTGCTGTGGGTGCTGTCCCTCTCCCTGTCCCACTCGTTCCCTCTGGATTTCGGTCCCCTGCCCCTGCGGCGCTCTCCAAGAGATGCACTGCAGGGATTTAGACCTGCTTAACCTGCACCCCTAACTGGTTGCCTCACTCCTCCACCCCAGCCCGTGGCTTTCCCAGTTCTGCCTGACTCCACCCCTGGTGGCTTTGTGGGGCTCCTGTCACATCCCTCCTCCAGGCTCTCCCAGGAAATTATCCCCAGGGACACACACCTGTATAATTGTATGCAATGGTCCTGGAGAGAAAAGGCTACATGTGGAAACATTTGGAAAGGAAGGGGAGAGTATCAGGACACAAAACATGAACAGGACAGAGATTCAAGACAGGTTGGAAATCCTAGAGCAGAGTGGCACCCGGCCCCAAATTCTACCTGAAGCTCTGGGAGGGGGACATCCTGTCAGTACCCCACCCCCAACAGGAGGAGGCAAGAGGAGGCCTGAAATGCCAGCCTGGCACTTTGGAGAGGCGCTGAGATCATTTCCTTGGGTGTCCCATGGCTCGTTCATAACATGAACGAGTTCCCGTTGCGGGCCTCACAAAGACCCCATAGAGATGCCAAGGAGAGCCTTGGTCAACAAGAAGAGGCCTGGGACAGGGAAGGGGGTGGCCCAAGATGGACAAGTCTCCTTGTTGGGAGCCACACCAGCAAGCACAGACACCAGAATCAGATGCTGGTATGTGCTCACAACCAGCCAGGCTCAGCAATCCAGCAGCCAACATTGAAACACCAAGGAAGATACGAGAGCAAAGGGAACGGTTCCGTCCTTTTTCCGCAATCACCTTGTGTAAGCATCTGTATCTTGGGGAGAGAGAAGAGGATGAGTAAGAGGGAGAGGATGGGGGGAAGAGAAGGGGGAAACAAAGAGGAAGAGCAAGGTGGAGAGTAGGAGAGGCAGAGGAGTAAAGACGTCTTCTTGAAGACTTCAGTGCTGATGGACATTGTGCATCACGCATACCAGGATATAACATGGTGTAGCGTTTCCCAGACATACTGGTCAAGGGAGTACTTTGCTTCCAGAACGGTTACTCATATCTCCTAGATCCAGTACTCCCTGAAAGAGTTTGGGAAATCTGGCTCTAGAAAGAGGCGAGCAGAATATCTGGGCCTAGGGCACAGATAGGAGGTGACAGAGGTCCCTAGCAGATAGGCAGTGAGACGTTAAAGATACCTTCCCCATCTCAAGTTTGCTTTGAGTGCTCCTGGGCTGGTCATGGTTGGAATCCCTTCTTGGGTTTTGTCTTTGAGGGTAGTGCCCCATTTAAGCAAGGTTCTTTCCAATTTCCCTTAGCATGTCTTACTGTAAGCAGGGATTGTACTGGATCTCTTTGGAAGGGAGCAACTCTTTTCAAGTTCATCCAGAGGGCAAGCAGCTGGGGTCCTCTGAGCCACTTGGACTCCCCAGTCACTTACACGAGGCTCCAAAACTGCAGCCTGAAGTTACGATAGCTCTTAGGCACTTTGCCAGTAGTCAATAACTGGTGGTAGTGGAGACGGAAAAACAGCAACGAACAATGCAGTTGGACATTGTACTGTGAAACCTAAGCTGAACCGTGACAAAGATGCATCTCGGGGCTCCCATCAAAGCTGAAGAGAGCCGCTGTGGCCACCTGTGACTGTGCTGGTGATCAAATGGAGTCACCACCGAGCACAGCATTTCTGAGACACTGGGGGGTTGGGGGGGGGCAAGAAGCACACAGTGTGAGGATGCCAGGCCAGGTGTGGTAGTGGATGATCAGAGGAGGAGCAGCCTAAGGGGCGGCCCATTAACACGGACAGGTTCATCACAGGGACATAAATGCAGTTCCAGCTGCCACAGGAGATCGAGACAGGAGGTTCCTTGCACTCTGCACGCTGAGGAACCCCTCACACAGGACAGCAGATGTTACAACCTGGGCCCCTCTAGACTGGACGACAAGAACAGAGCTGCTGACGTCCACAGCCCAAGCAAGATCCTTATGAGCTCCCAGGGAGAGATGGGTGCCCACGTGCCCAGCGGCGCATGTCTGTAGGCAGAGCAGAGTACAAAAGTCTGTCTCTCTTTTCCCTTGGGAGAAGATTTTCATGTCTACAAAGCAAATGTTCCTCAGACAGCTGGAAACGTAACCACAAAAATTTTCAGGGATGGGGGCTCCTAAAACCAGATTTCAATTAGAAATGCTCATTGGTTAAACAGTTCATGCAGGATCAGCTTTAGAGAAGAGATGTAATCACAGTTTGTTGAAAACTTTACACAAACAGTGGATAGAATATTGATATATTTAGGGAGCAGACAATGTCAAAAAATTATGACACTGACACATAGCTTGATTCTCGCCTTTCAAAACCAGGTCTCACATCTACAGCCATGAGGCTACTTACTGCAATCGCCCATGATTCTCTACCTGAGGGCTTCTTCTTATCCTTGGAGCATGCTGGACAGGTCACAAGGCCACTGGGAGTGTCAGAGATTTACTGCTTCTGAAAATAGCTAGCCCTTTATTAATAATGGTTGGTGAGTGGGGTGACACCTGGATGGTTCAGTCGGTTAAGCGTCCGACTCTTGATTTTGGTTCAGGTCATGATCTCAGTTGGTGAGATCAAGCCCCTCATCAGGCAGTATGGAGCCTCCTTGGGATTCTCTCTTTCTCTCTCTCTCTCCCACTCCCTCCCTCCCTCTCTCTCTCTCTCTCTCTCCATCAAATAAATAAAATAAACTTAGAAAAATAATGGTTGGGTATGTGGCAGCTACATACTCTAGGTTCCTCGTCCCATACTTGGGATGGATATGAAATGTATTCTATCTACCCAGTCTCCCATAGTCCCTCCACCAAATCAGCTCCACTCTCCAAAGTCGTCACGTGCTAGATCACCCCCCCTTAATTGGCTGCCTTCCTTGCAAGTCTCACTTCATGACACCACTGCCAGTGCTACCTGGTACTTCCTTTCAAGTAAGCTATTTGTACTGATGGTTTGTCTCGGGGTCTGCTTCCTGGAAATCCAGACTTGGGCACCTTGTATATTAAAAATGCATGAAATTCAATAACACTAATTCAAAAACACATATGTACCCAATGGTTATTGCATCATTATCAACAGTAGCCAAGATATGGAAGAAAGCCGAGTGTCCATCAATAGAAGGATGGATAAAGATGTGACACACACACACACACACTCACGTGCACACACGCACACACACGCAGAATGGAATATTACTCATCTATAAAAAAAATAAGGACATCTCGCTATTTACAACCACATGGATGGACTTAGATGGTATCATGCCAAGTGAAAGAAGTCAGACAGAGAAAGACAGATGCCATATGAGTGAACTTATATGTGGAATCTAAAGAAAAAATGAACAAACAGAAACACATTCATAAATACAAAGAACACACCTGTGGTTACCACAGAGGAGGTAGGGGAGAGATGGGCAAAATAGGTGAAGGGAATTAAGAGGTATAAACTGCCAGTTATAAAGTAAAAAAGTCATGGGCATGAAAAGTGCACCATATGGAATATAGTAATATTGTAATAACTACATGGTAAGAGATAATAGCTACACTTATCATGGTGGGCACTGGGTAATGCATGTAATTATTGGATACTGTGCTGTATACCTGAAACTAACCTAATATTGTATGTCAGCTATACTCACATTTTAAAGAAATGTGTTTATTTCACACTGAAACTCATATGTTTGGTTGGAAGTAAAGTTCTACACTCAAAGTTATTTATTAACCAATATTTGAAAGACACACTCTACACCATTCTTTTTCTCTTGGTCATGTCTGCTTGCCTCATTATCTCCCCTTTTCTTTTTCCCATCAATGAAGTTTATCAGGAACACAGAAATGTATAGAACATATAGGGAATAGTATAACAAGTGACTGTGTGAACAACTCTCAGCAAGGGAAATACAACTTCCATCACAGTGAATCTATCAGTCCCTGAGGTAAGCACTAATCTGAATTTGGGATTTGCCATTCCCATGTCTCTGTGACTGTTACATAGAGCAAGCAGGGGCCAAGCCACAAAGATTTGGTTTCCTGACCCCACCCCCACCCCCAATGCCCCAGCCAAATCGTCTCTGCTGGACTCCTTCTTCTCTGTTTCTCATCATCAACTGCAGGATCAGCCTCATGATTTTTTTGATCACTATCAGGTAATAGAATGTGTTTGGTGAGCTTAGTATTCCCCACGGTCAGTGGGTCAGAGTCCGATCCAAGGTGATAAGAACCACAGCT